AGATGACTTACATACAGAAAACCCTGAAGACTCAACCAGAAAACTATTAGAAATAATAAACAGTAAAGTTGCAGGATACAAAATCAACACATCAACACACACACACATACACTTATATTTCTATACGCTGACAATAAGCAGTCACCAACAGAAATTAAGGAAACAATCATATTTACAATGGCAACAAAAATAAAATACCTATGAATAAAATTAAAGAGAGTGAAAGACCTTTACACTGAAAATTGTAAGACTTGTTTAAAGAAACTGAAGAAGACACAAATAAATGGAAAGATATTCCATGCTCATGGACTGGAAGAATAAATTATAAAGATGTCCATATTACTTAAAGCAGTCTAATTCAATGCAATCCCTATCAAAATCCCAAGCACATTTTTCACAGAAATAGAACAAAAAGATCTAAAATTTATATGGACCCACCAAAGACCACTAATAGTCAAAGCAATCCTGAGAAAAAAAGAACAAAGCTGATGGCATCACACTCTCTGGTTTCAAACTATATTACAAAGCCATAGTAATCAAAACAGCACTGGCAGAAAAACAGATGCAAAGATACCTGAACAGAATTGAAAGCCCAGAAATAAACACTTGCAAATATGGACAATTAGTTTATACAAAGAACCAAAGAACATATAATGGAGAAAGGACAATCTCTTCAACAAATGATGCTGGGAAAACTGAACAGCCACATGTAAAAAAACGAAAGTAGACCACTAATTCACAGCATACACGAAAATCAACTCATTCAAAGTGGATTAAAGACTTGAATATAAGACCTGAAACCATAAAACTCCTAGAAGAAAACACAGGCAATATGCTCTTTGGTATCAGTCTTAGCAATATCTTTCTCGATATGTCTCCTCAGGTAAGGAAAACAAAAGCAAAAATAAACAAACAGAATTACATCAAACTAAAAAGCTTTTGCACAGCAAAGGAAATCATCAATAAAATGAAAAGACAACCTACCAAATGGGAGAAGATATTTGCAGATGATATATATGAAAATAATTTATACAACTCAGTAACAGTAAAAACACCTGATTACAAAAATGGACAAAGGAGTTGAATATGTATTTTTCAGAAGAACACATACGGATGGGCCAGTAGGCACATGGAAAGATGTTCAGCAACACTTATTATTAGGGAAAGGCAAATCAAAACCACAATGAGATATCACCTCACACCTATCAGAATGGCTATCATCAAAAAGACAAGAAATAACATGTGTTAGCAAGGATGTAAGGAAAAGGGAACCCATACACTGTTGGTGGGAATGTAATGGGTGCAGTCCCTACAGAAGACCGTATAAAGATTCCTCAAAAAATTAAGAACAGACTAGCATATGATGCTCAGCTATAACATTTCTCGGTATTTATACAAAGAATACAAGAAACACTTATTTAAAAAGATATATGCCACCCCCACGTTCACTATAGCATTATTTATAATAGCCAAGATATGGAAACAACCTAAGTGCCCATCAATGGATGAACGGATAAAGATGTAACACACACACACACACACACACACACACACACGCACACGGAATACTATTCAGCCATGAAAAAAGAATAAAATCGTGCTATTTCCAACAACAGAGATACAGAGATGGACCTTGAAGGTATTAAGCTAAGCAAAATAACTCAAGAGGAAGAAAGGCAAATACTGTATGAGTTCACTCATAGACGGCATATAAAACACTAATAAACAAACAAAATAAATGAACAAACCAAAACCAAAACCAAAACCAAACAAAAAACCCAAACACATAGATACAGAGAACAGAGGGAGAAGGGGAAGGAGGAAAGTCACAGGGGGTATAAGGGATCAACTATGGTGACAGATGGAAGTTAAACTTTTGGTGGTGAGAAAGCTGCTGGGTATATAGAAGTAGAAATATGATGTTGTACACATGAAACATATAATGCTATAAACCAGTGCTAACTCAATAGAAATAAATAATAAAATTTTTAAAAATCCATGTTTCTGCACCATCCTGATCTTTGGTAAATAATAACAAAAGACTCCAAAGCTTTCAATAACTTTCATTTATAAAGCAATTAAAATAGATATTATTTTATTATTAAATATCTTTAATTTTGATTATTATATTTATCTGTGGAATCTGTAGAGAAATTCAATATCCTCAGTTTTAAAAAATCCTAATGTATCAGAATTCATTAGGAAGTTATTCCATTGAGAAGTCTGACCAAATATACTGCTTCAGTTGATATTGTCATTGAAAACAACATAAACCTTACCATTTTTCGGTAATACAAAGAAAGATCCTTCAAAACACCATCACTTAAAACATCAAGGGACCTAAGAGTAAGATACAAAATTCTATCTTAAGACTCAAGTAATTTAATATCTGTCGAGTTTTTCAAATGTGTAGAGACATTTTATATTGTTGAGTAAGTAAGTTTTTTTTTTAAAGCATTAATATGCCAGTTGCAGCAAATTCTTCTTGGAAGTGTGTGTTGTTATATATTTCATACACATTAGACAACATCTTGAATAAAATTCAAACAACTCTTATAAATAAGTGATAAAACCTTTACAGAAAGAATACTATACTGACAGAATGATAGCCTATCAGGTACCTGAATTCCATTTAGAATTATCACTGCTCCCAATTACCTGCATGACCTTGAGCAACTCACTGTCTCTCTCTAGGCTTTAGTATCTTCACATGTAAAATGATGTTAGGACTAGTTCAACTGCATTCAAAGTAGATTTTAAGGAACTCTCAGGTTCTAGAGAGGTACTTTGAGGCATCAGTAAAAATTTAAATCAAAGTTTACATTATAAAATATATTTCAAACCATTTTTACAACTAATACAAAACAAGCATATTCAAACCTGTACTATACAGGTTTTTTTTTTTTAACATTTTAAAGATAATTAAGTTGTGATGCTATGTCAGTTTTGATGCCTTCCTTTCTTAATATCTCTGTGCATATTCATTTACACTTCTAGCAAACACATATTTGATTAGAAATGGTTATACTTACACAAATCTTTGTTTTAATGGAAGTTATGCATGAATACTTACATAGTTATTCACCAAAGCACCTGTGACACCCTTAAATATTAGTAGTTCAGCTGACACTCCTGTCACAACATAATAACTGAACAACAGCAGTGTGACACATCATTTTCCAGTATCATATTTTAGATTGATTTGGTGCTTGTTTTACATTTGGGTTGATTCTTATCTGACAAATTGAGTAAGTTTAATTCGGCAGTGTAAGGTAAAAAAAAAATTACTATGATTAGAATTACTAATATAATGTCAGCAAAAAATTAAATTTACTCTGAAACCCTAGAGGTCCTGACACTAAACTACCAGAGGCATTTTGAGATGATATTGTCTAATATCCTCTAACATTAATTTGCATTTGAAAGGCATTTTTCACAAAATAACAAAGTATTAAACTGTCAAAAGAATTTCCTCTAAACTGAACCCTTAAATGGCAAATTATTAAGGATCTATGATTCACCTTTTAAAAATAGTGGAAAGCTTTTCTTTCAATCATGTTTTGCAATTAGTTTCATTAAACATCATCCTGACTTTGAAAGGTGAGTTATCAAAAAATTATTAAGATTTCTAATTCATTAAATGGATCAAGATTTTGATTATTTGGAAAAAAAGGTTCATGGGTTTTTTCATCCTCATATGAAGATATAATAAAATCTACTTCATAATATTTTCATGAAAATTAACTGAATCTATGTAACACTTTTAGAATTCTGTCTGGCACAGTACTATGATTATTACTATTATTATGTAACTATTATATTACTATTATTTATTACTATTAATAACTACTATTATGGCAGTAAGTGTGGGCTATTATTACAATTAAAACAAAATACAGAAGTACACTGGATACTGACTTTAAAAATGCAACTGACACCAAGACTGTAATCTGAAATTTCTGTGTTAACCAAAACAGACTCATTTTCCCATCACTAACTTAAGTGAGTAAATGTAATACAATTTTGACCTTATGCTAAAAAATAAATCTGTAACTTTATTTCATTACAAAATTCTACTGCTAAAATAGTTCAAAACAATGGAATGAAATTTCCAACATTTCTCTAATTCTAAAATGTTTATGACTCCTAAATCATTATCATTTACCAAATTATTTCCATCCAGGTAAACAATAAAAAATATTGGCTTATAAAACAGGATATATATATTCAGCTAACTTTTTCACTTAAAATGTGTCATTTTTCATACAGAATACTTCATTACTCATTGATTTCTATGTTAAGGCTTCAAGAGGCATATGAGCTTGTACTAAGACCAGACCAACTAAATTTTTTAGGCCATCTGCTACAGCCGAAGTTTGACCGAAGAATCAATATGCAGTATAGGAAATATCTTAAGAGTGAATGAATATAAAGAGAAAATAGAACTCAACCAGTAACAAATCATATGCAATTAAGTGCTGGCTTAATTAATCTTAAGTTTCCAAATGCCACGGTAACAATTACAAAATTACAAATCAAGCAAAGAGGTATAAACGCATAAAAATATATACTTGTGATAATACTGTCCCACAACTTTCCAACGTAAGCTCCACTGAAGGCAAAGATGTCTATTTGTTCACCACAGTATCTTAGCAATTGCTGGTATATATTAGGCATCCAAATACTTACGGAATCATTAAATCCCCTTACATTTTCATTTTTTTTCTATAAAGCTGGAATTTATCATTATTCACTTTTAAAGTACTAACATATCTAATATGTAAATAAGTGGTTTTGAAACTGTATGCACTCGACTTACCTTGCTTCAAGTAAAGCTGCCATATTCAGTCCTATAAACTGTAAACAAGACAGTTTCAATTGTTCAGCATTATACATTGCTGCAAATTCCAGGAGCATAGCAGCATTCTTAAGGGTGACTACAAAGAAAAAAAGATTTGCAAAATGAGATGAAAGGCATGTTACTACAGCAAATTAAACTTACTTATTTCTCAAGCTGTCAGGTTTGAACACTTAGAAGAAGGAAAACTGAAAAGTAGCTTCTTGCCAAAAATAGCTTATACTAGGGCAAATGTAGAACTCATTTTCCATTCCAATATGTCAAAGTAATTTTAAATGATTTGCCCTGAGAGAAATGAACACATATAAAATTTTAAGCAAAAGAAAATACAGAAGGTGCATTACAATGTCATCTAAAAGCAAACACCTAAGAATCAACAATTTTCCAGCTAACCTTTTTGGAATATTTTTAATTTTCACTGATAAACAACATTCCTTTTCATTTATATAGTACAGAATAGACAATCTCTCTTCCATAAAACTAAAAAGATATTCTTAAGACTAAGAGAAACTGGTGGGGAGGGTATAGCTCAAAGGGGTGGAGCATGTGCTTAGTATGCACAAGGTCCTGGGTTCAATCCCCAGGACCTCCTCTAAAAGAAAAGTAAATAAATGACCTAATTATATCCCCACCCCACCCCCACCAAAAAAGAAGAATTTTCAAAAGACTAAGAGAAACTGATGAAATTCTATAAAATATATTTATGTTGAGTAATACATCAGACTTTACCTGGGTATATTACATATATAAACACATACACATACTATATATTTAGAAAAGAAGTACAACTAAATCTTACCATATTGCTTTTCATACCAGTACAGAATATGGAATACTGTACAGAAGATGCTAGATTTTGTTACAATCCTTGTAACTTTATATATGAAATGTGTTTTGCTGGAGACAGTCCCAGAATATCGTACTTACTGAGCATATAATTTTGGCTTCCAAAACCTCTCTGTTCTTTTCCTTATTTATTCTGAGTCCCAGCCAACAGAGGAACACAACTGTTTTCTATACCTCTATTTCTTTTTTCCTTTTCCCTTGTAACTCATTCAAAAGTTGTAACTGCAGACAATAATAATGATCTCTGCCTCACTCTTGACTAACATGAAGTTTCAGCTAACGATACACTCAGTCTCCCATTTCACAGAAATAAAAATGGATCATATAAAAATTTGAGAGTTGTGCAGTGGGGAACAAGAATTGCCCAATTATCAGAGATGCAAATTCTGCTGAACTCTTCTCTTGCAAGGTTCTAGGAAAGATCAAGGAATTCATTAATAGAGGCAACAGTGTAGCAGGAGCCAAGAAAGACTATCCAGGGGATGCCAAGAAAGTCAACTGAACAACTGAAAATATTAGTATTTTATACCTATTGCATGTTGTGTCCTTTATTTTAATGTACGGCTGGTCTCCATACCCGAGTTTAACGGCAGCATGTACAGAGGGCCAGCTATACTCACTGTACCACACCATTTTATATACGGGACTTGAGCATCCACGGATTCTGATATCCATAGAAGCTCCTGAAACCAATACCCCTCTGGACACTGTGGGACAGTATTTCCCTTTTCTGAATGGCTTAAAAGATCAGAGTCATTGTTCTCTTTTTGATAACCAAGGAGAAGATACTCCATTCAAGAAAAGTGAGTAAATAAGACAACTAGAGCAAAGACAAACTACTAGCAACTACAAATTTGAGAAACTTGACAGGAAAACCTTTCACACTTGCTGAAGTGGCAATGAAAGAGAGCAAAGATTAGAAAGCCAAGAAACCTTTATATCAGGCTAAGGAAATCTAACCTTTATCTTAAATATTAAAATTATAGAAGACATAAGTACTTCCTATAGAAACAGTAAAGAAAGAGAAGTTAGAAGAGAGAAATGGGACTTAAAAGACTATGATGCCACCACACAGAAGGGGTGGATAACGGTGATCTCCACTAGCATACGGACAGTGAGAATAAAAAGGTGAGGGAAATGCAATCAACGTAGGATGAATCAGTTTTGACAGCTGCAATTTGAGTGTAAGGAACAAAATAACAAAAGATAACTTTGGGCTTCAAAATTGAGTGTTAAGATGACAGCCATGTAATTAACTGAAATAATAAACAAAGAAAGAAAGAAAGAGTTTAGAGAAAATAAATGTGTTTTGATCAAATATATTAATGGAGTGGTTACACAAAAGTTCCAGCAAACAGCAGGAAATGGGTAGCTAAACACAGACTTACAGCCCAGGGCAAGGGTAAAACATTTCTGCTTTCAAACTCTCATCCTTCGAATTCCAAAATAAATTTCACGCCATCTTTATTAGTCAAGGTTTTATGGCATTTCCAAAAAAATTAATGTATTTCAATTCTAAGATATACATGTTTTCATATATTAACACCTCTGAAATTTGGATGTAAATTATAAATAATGACACAAAATAGTTTAAATGTTTGTTTCATGATACAAAAATATGCACTTTACCAAAAGGCATCATAAAGTCAATAAAATACAGTGAATCCTGGATCAACCTGAAAACACATTAAAATTCTAATTTAAAAAGACTCACGTTTTTCACTTAATGCTACTTCACAGATCTCTTTTAATCGCGTTATGAGAAGCTGATCAGCCACCACAAGAACACTACAAACAAAATCCACATTTTGAGATTCTAAAAAATAAAAACAAAAAGGAAAACAAATGTCACTCTTTACTATTATTTTGTAAACATTACACCTAGGAGAAAAAGTTCAAGTAATTAAGACACTATGAGAGACAGAACTGATTATTTTCTAAATGTTGAAATGGCATGTATGACAAACAGTAATAGTAACATCAAAATACTTCTATCTTCTAGGTAGAGAGCTGAAAAAAACAACACCCAAATGCCCTGGGACCATAAAATGTACAACTTGAGTTGATCTTTTTCAGTCTAAAGGGCCACTGAAATGCTTGACTTATTTAAAAATCTCTCACGTTATTAGACAAACATTTCTCAGATTAACAGAGGGGAAAGTCAAATCTCATCATCAAAGGTAATACACAGGTACATGTTAAATAGTTACATATATGTTAAGAACATACATATACATACAGAGGAGAGGGGAAGGAAGAAGAAAGGGAAAGGTGATAATGCTCTTAGGCTTCCTTGTTTAAAATAAAACTGGTCATCTAAGAGTACTTTTTTTTAAACTACAGTAATTCTTTAATTTAAAAGAAACTTGGTCCAGTGTACTGTTAACGACCTTAAGCAATGCCCTTGAGTTACTACAAGAAAAATAAGATAAATAGGAAAAAACCCCAATACCACTACCATGTGAAGAAAAGAAAAAAAAAATGGTTAAAAAGGGAAAATGAAGTAGAAAAGCCAATTTTTAAAAAATGAGGGAGAGGCGAAGTCATTATAAATGGCAGGCTAACGACTACTTCCAAAATTCTTCTCCTCTACAAAAATTATCAAAAATCAACTCTTGTAGAATTCTAGAAATTAGCCAATGACTTGCAATAATTTAGGGAACACTGAATCCAAAAAAATGGCTGAATCTTGGTAAGAGAGTGAGCTTTGGGACTCTGTAGTTTCTGCTATGTATATCCTCCTCTCCTCTCCCCCACAACAGTCTTGAAAACCATCAATCCTGCAGTCACAGTGGAAATGAGCAGCAACAGCCACTAGAGGAGACAGAACAGCTGGGGAGCGACATTATCAAAGAACTGTCATTATTTGACCTGTCTGACAGTTTCCTGGAAGTCCCACTAGCAGAGGTTTATTTGACCTAACTAAAAGCTTGACCAGTGTGAACAGCTTCAGAAAAGGTCATTTATTAAAAACAATTAGCAGCAACTGTTTAACATTTAAGCTGCCTGAGATGATGACAAGGGACAGAGCCAAAAAGCAGCAGATCAAAAACACTTAAAAAAAAAAAAAAAAAAAGACTAGGGAAAAAGATGTTGTCATGACTGAACTGAAAGTGTCCCCTGAAAATTCACATGTTGAAGCTGTAATTCCCAGTGTGGCTGTTTTTGGAAATGGGGCCTCTAAGGAAGTGATTAAGGCTAGGTGCAGTCATAAGGGTAAGGCCCTGATCTGACAGGATTAGTGTCCTAAGAAGAGACATCAGGGATCTATCTTCCCCTACCAACCCCCTTCACATGGGTTCACCCTCTCACTTACTTTCTCTCTTTCTCCAAAGACACCCACACACAAGCACTGAGGAAAGGCCATGTGAAGATATAACACGGCAGCCCTGTACAAGCCAGGAAGGGAATCCTCACCAGAAATCAACCTTGTCAGACTTTGATCTGACACTTTCAGCCTCCAGAACTGTGAATGATAAATTTCTGCTTAAGCCACCCAGCCTATATGATTTGTTATGGCAGTCTGTGCTAATACTAATATCCATAGGGGGTTTTGAAAAATTTTAACATATTCCTGTGAATCTAGAAGGCCACACAAATGTGGAGGGCTGTGCAAATGCCCAGGAAAATACTTAAGAAATCCCAAAACTCTTACCTCTGGCTGAACTTGAGAATCTGCAAAAGTAGGAAATAAAAGCTAGGGCAGAGTTGTACACTGCCTGCCTAAGAACTGAAGCCATGCCACAACACAAAGAGCCTCCAGGCAAATGCTGAGAGATTTACTAGTTTAGGCCTGTAAGAAAAATTCTGTCTAATTATTAGCTGACCACTAAGCTGATCAAACAGAGATCTCAGTGGGCACATATCCACAAAGAATATCAATTTTGCAGAACTAGTTCCAAAGAGTCACTAAATGAACAGCAAAAACAACAAACCCTAGGGAAGGAGGAGAACCTGATTTCAACAGTTGTTACATTATGTCATTTAAATATGCCCAGCTTCCAACAAAAAATTATGAAAGATGAAAAGAGATGCAAGTATGGCATATATACAGAAAAAAAGCAGCTAAGGGAAACTGTCCCTGAGAATGCCAAGATGCTGAACTATTAAAACAAAGAGTTAAAATCAACTATTTTAAATATATCTGAAGAACTGAAGTAAATCACATCTGAAAATCTAAAAGTACGACAATAATGTCTCACGAAATTAAGAATATCAATAAAGATAAAAATGATAGGTCAATGGAGATTATCTAATCTGAGGAAGAAAAAGAATGAATAAAAATAAACTGAGTGTAACAGACCTGTGGAATTTTATCTAGCATACCAAGATACATATAGGAGTCCCAGAAAGAAAAAGGAAAGAATATAAAGAATATTTGAAGAAATAATGGCAAAGGGGGAGAGAAGTAAAAGTGTAAAGGTATTTCACACAAAGTTGTGAATAACAGTCCAGAGATGGAAGCAACCCAACCATCTACCAACAGATGAATGGATAGAGAAGATGTGTATGTATATACATACATACACACTATGGAATATTTACTCAGCCACAGAAAAGAATGAAATTATGCCATTTGTAACAATGGACCTAGAGGATATTATGCTTAATGAAATAAGTCAGAGAGAGACAAGTACTCTGTTATTACTTATATGTAGAATCGTGGAATCTAAAAAAAATAACACAAATGAATGTATGTAACAATACAGAAACAGACCCACAGACACAGAGACAAAGTAGTGGTTACCAGTGGGGAGTAGGAAGGGAGAGGGGCAAGACAGGGTTATAAGATTAAGAGACACAAACGACTATGTATAAAATAAATAAGCAACAAGGATATATTATACAGCACAGAGAAACAGAGCCATTATTTTATAACTTTAAATGGAATATAATCAATAAAAATGTTGAATCATTATGGTGTATACTGGAAATCAATATAATATTGTAAATCAACTATACTTCATTAGAAAAAGTTGTGATTAGTTTAAAATAGACTGTTAATATTATATTACATGTAAATCTTATAGTAACCACAAAGCAAAAGCCTACAGTAGATACACAAAAGGTAAAGAGAAAGGACCCAAGGGTGTCAAGAATACAAAATGGGGAAAGGACAGCCTTCTCTTCAACAAAGGATATCAGAAAAAATGCACATCCATGTGCAAGAGAACGAAATTTGACCCACATTTTACACCATCCACAAAAGTCAACTCAAAGTACATTAAAGACTTGAATGTAAGACCTGAAACCATAAAACTCCCAGGAGAAAAAAGGGGAAAAGCTGCTAGACACTGGTACTGGCCATGA